ATAAAGGCTGCTACTTAAAGAGTTAATTATGCTAAAAGTAAAACATTATATTACAAGCAAGCACATATTGCTCAAAATATGGTGTTTTTCTTAACATTTCTAGTTTTAAAAGTGTTCTTAGAATTTTTTTTTCTGGATTTTATTATTTTTTTAAGGACTCAGTATGTGGAGATCAAAGATCGGGGAATCATCTCTTCATGGAGAATGCAGATGAGTTCACTGCTGCTCTCATGGTATAGTTCTAAGAGCACTTAGTCCAGGAAATATGTAATAATTACTATATATTTTAATAGTTCTTAATTAGGCTCTTCACACAAACTGGCCTTTAGATGCTGGTGCCATGTGGTAGAATGTACTATAGACATGAACCCACCAACTTTCCTTATTAGGTACACCTGTTTTACTACTCATTAACTTTCGTTAACCAGCCAATCTCATGGCAGCAACTCAATGGCAAATAGACATTTAGGCAAATAGACATGGTCAAGACAATCTGCTGAAGTTCAAACTGAGCAGAATCGGGAAGAGCGGGGATCTAAGTTATATTGAACATGACATAGTTGTTGGTGCCAGACAGGTGGGTCGGCTTATTTTAAAAAAAATGCTGATCTACAGTTCCAGTACTGTCACGCTTGACTATCTCTAAGGTTTATACAGAATGGTCCGAAAAAGTTTCAGGTGATTGGTAGTTCTTTGGGTGCAAATGCCTTGTTGAAGCCAGAGGTCAGATGAGAGTGGCCAGACTGGTACAAGCTGACAGAAAGGCAACAGTCTTGTTACAACTTAGGTATGCAGAAGGGCATTTCTGAATAACCACGTCAAACCTTGAGGCATATGAGCTACAGCAGCATAAGACTACACCAGGTGCCACTCCTTTCAGCTAAGAACAGGAAACAGAGGCTACAGTTGCACAGGTTTAGCAAAATTAGACAATAGAAAGCTGGAGAACCATTGTCTGGTCTGAAATTCAGACAGTAGGGTCAGAATTATGCCTCCCCCCCCCAAAAAAAAAATTATTGATGATTATTGATGTTTCTAAATGATCACTTTACTCTCAATCTGGACGTTTACGAATGGTTTCTAGAACACCTAAAATCTTTTTGTTATCAATCACCTCTCCTATGAAACTACTAGTTTTAGTCTATTAAGCAAAAACCCTGTATACCTTTAAGGCTAAGCTTAAATCTGTACTTTTTAATAAAGCTTATAGTTGGTGTTTCTCAGGTTATCCTGATCTGTCTCTATAGTTACATTTCGATAGGCTTAGGCTGCTGAAGGACTGACATTGACCCAGTTTTACTTATCAGGTTTATATGGATCTGCTTTAAGATAAGCAATGTTGGCCAAGACCTACATTAACACCCTTATAACACACATTCCTATTGGATTTACTTAGTAATTGTGAAATTAGACTTTGCTGGGGCCATTAAGCTTTTCAGCAAGACAAGGGAGGACACCAGTCATGGACAATCAATCTTGTTAACTGAATGTAGTCTATCTCCGGGATGTTGTCCACCTCTGTCTGCCACAAATTTGAAATGGTTCTAGAATGTATTGTTTTAGTTATATTAACCATTATTTGTGCTCACAGTTTACATTGCAATAAATAGCAGAGATGTTTAGATGTCTTACGATCCATAGGAGTTGCTAGCTTCTCGTTAACAGATAACACACATTTTTTAAGATTATTCTAATGCTCTAGTAGCTGTTTATTATTTGTGAAAGTAGGCATACAGGAAATAGTATTATAACAGACCTTTAGTTCACTGGTACAGTCCAGGCCTTGATAGGGAAGGGCAACAAAAGGGGAGTCAACACTGGTACACCTTTAAAACTCAAAAGCTTGCATGAATTTAATTGAAGCTTGACAGATCCTAAAATTGGCAAGCTAGATAAATAATGCAGTCACACCAAGATGCAGAGAAAGCTGCAAAGGGCTAAAACATGAGTAATCATTGCCATTCTTAAAGGCCTCAGCAGGGGATTGGAAAACCTAAAAAGGGACATTTGCTCCAGTGTTCAACTTTTAAAATCTCTGTCCACAACAGTAAAGTAGAGGCGATATGAGATTGCACAGTGATGTAAGAAAAGAGGTGCTCAGTAGGCAAGGAAAAGGGACTAAAACTAACCCGACGATTTGCTTTCAATATAGCAGAGACCCTAGGAAAACTGAGAGAAAACGCAATAGAATAGTTGATGTTTATTGTTTAAACCAGAATGCTATGAGGTCACTGTTTCTAAAAAAAGATGTTAGATATGAGGAAGCAGTGTTTGATTCCTCAATACAACTAGAAAAGAGAAAATTGGATTTGTGCCAGCTGTCGCCCTATATAGCATTGTTTCAGTGCTGCTTAGTCATTTGAGATGTTTGCACTGCAGAGAGGCACATATCAAAAGTAAGAAGTGTTTTGCTATCAAATTAAATACTGTCTGGAGCAGAGGGAATATAAACTGTTTATAGAAAGGTTATATTTGATCAATTGACTGGGTTTTGGATCAATATCATTGGTATATCACAAACTACTTTTTTCCTTAGCAAGCTTGACTTTCAACTTTTGAAGAATGGCAGGCAAAATCCTTTTGCCTGTACTGCTTCTGTTGTTTATAAGTAAGTAACCACCCACGTTAACTTTAAATTATTTAATATAATAATATATAATATATAAAACAATATATATTTAATATGTTCTTATATATTATATATTTGAATTACTATTATTATTATTAGTAGTAGTAGAAGTCTTAGACATGTCTAACTGTCTAAAACAGTTATTTACATACTTCTTTTTTCCATAAAAATGATCAATTTTAATTATACACCAATTACAAGTTATTTGCATGAACGATTAAAAAAAATTTGTTTTAAAGAAAAAAATTTTGCTATGACCTTCAAGTGTATATTTAATTATGTAAATTTGTTTTGTAGATGGAGTTCAAACTCAAACCACAAGTAAGTTTAAATTTGAGTTCTATCTGTCTGCCTGTTTTTTTTTTTTTATTCACAATTTTTAATAACCAATAAGTGTACCTTTACATACTTACTTCGGAAAATTTGCTACTAAGACCTTCCAAAGAAAGTAGTACAATAAATATTGCTACAGAATTGGAACAAAGCAAACTTTGACATTTTTTATCTGATGTTATCTGTAAAAAGTTATAGGTGGGATGACCACTCAGAATCCAGGTAAGCAGAAACATTAGATTTGTCTTTTTTGATATTACTGTCTTATAAATTCTTAAAAATCTATAAGAAACACTTTCAAATTATATTAGGAAAATGTTACTAAGTTTTTTAAAATAATTTCATTTAGTCTATTTACCTTGCCATAAAAATTAAAAAGTATCTAATGCAGGGGTGTCAAACGTAACATTTAGTCCGGCCCGGTGGCTAAATGCATTATTGTTATTCAACAAAGATTGTTGAAAAAAAACATGTACTTTATTTAATTGAAAATTTGCAGTTGCTATAATGTCCATGAGGGGAGCTGTGTTTTATTCACTGCAGACAACACTATGCAACACTGCATAAGATCTAACAGCAGATGGTAGCACTGAACTTCAGGTTCTGTAAATGGCTTTGATTCTGTTGCTTTACCAGCTTTTCATTTTGGCCCTGACAAGCTCATCAACATAATGTCTTGGTCAAAAAAAAAAAAAAAAAAAAGAGAAAGGTAGCCACAGAGTGTCAGATTTTTCAAGAAAAATAACTATTTCAGGTATTTATCAAACTCGAAACAGAATTCTCAGTTTTTCGCTCACCATTCACAATCAGAGCTTCTTTGATACAGAACCTGAAAGGATTGATTCGCAAAGTGATTAGGAATTGGAGGTCAAATTTGCATCAGTTGGCTTGGACACCTTTTTTTTTTAAATGTCTGCTACCAGGATATCCAAAATTGACAGCACTGGCAGCAAAAATGTTGTCCATGTTTGGGACAACCTACCTTTGTGAACAAATTTTATAACTGATGAATAAAAAAAACACAAAGCTCCACTCAAATCTCACACATAAGCACTTAATGAGACTCTGACATTGGCTGCTGCTTAGGGTATAATGCCTGATATTGGTGTACCTGTCCAAGTTAAAATATGCTAAGTTTCAGGGGAAAATAATGAGTTAAACTACAGTTTTGAATATTTGCTGAATTAATTCTATTCAAATTAGTGCTAGTCAGTAACAGATTTACAGTGTTGAGTAAAATTTTTCTCATGCATGAAATACATGTTACGTGTGTAAGTTTTTCTATGTGTATACTGTACATTTTATGCATCAACAAGAAAGGTGACAATTGTATTTAAACAAATGTCTGTCCAAAACAGCTGGCAATTGAGATTATCAGCTGTTTTAAACAGATAATTTGTTCAAATTGCTTCCAAGATGTGGAAAATTTATTTTAAATAATTTCTTAACTTTTATCTGCTTGATGTATTTTGTGGTGCAGCACAGTGTTTTTAAGTTCTAAAAACTGTGAATAAATGTTTTGCAATATTGTAAAACCACTTAAATAAATGTTTAAACGTATAGTTGAATTTGCACATACTTTTCATAATGTATTTTCTAAAAGTGAAATTTGTTCAATATAAAAATTAACAAGTCCACTTTTATCAGTTCTACTTAATCTTGCAATGAGTTTACTTGTGCAGCCCCCTTGAGAACAGATTAAGCTGTACACGGCCCCTAAACCAAAATGAGTTTGACACCCCTGATGTATTAGCATTCAAACTGAATAAAATGTTCAATGACATTTATGTAATTTTACATGTGGAATGACAACTCAGATTTCAAGTATTATTAAATTTAAAATCTGTCTGTCTGTGTCAGTCTGTATGTCTGTCAACACTGCACATGATCCTCTAATAAAAGGGGAAAATAGTTTTCTCAATATGAGTTTATCCAACTGTTTTAATTTCAAACAACATTTTCTTTTAAATATAATCATTGACTTAAGTTCTACACATAGCTTTTCAAAATTTCTTTGATCAAAACACAATTTTTTTAAGCTTTTTTCTGTTCTCCAGGTAAAGAGTCAACTGTTTAATTCGTTAATGTGTGCTACGTCTTTTTAGGACCCCTCTACCCAATTGGTGGAACGACAAGCTCTCGATCCGATGATGGAAGCTCCCCACAAATTCCGCTGCTTCAAAACTTTAACTATTTTGGCCAGTCTTACTCTCAGATTTATGTATGTTCACCTCATTTCCTATACAATAATTAACTTTTGTTTTTAACTGTAAAAAAATAATTTCTAACATTTCCCACAATAAGTAAACATATCTTTTTTAATTCTGCATTTGCTTTTTAGGTGAACCACAATGGACATCTGACCTTTGATGCCCCATGGTCAAGCTATTCTCCTCAACAATTTCCACTATATGGAAACAGAGACATCATTGCTCCATTCTGGACCGATTTAGACAACAGAGGAAATGGAAACATCTACTATGTTCAGTATACCAGTGGCTCTATTCTCCAGCAGGTTACACAGGACATAAATACATACTTCCCAGCACTAAACTTTCAGGCCAGCTGGATCCTTATTGCAACATGGCATGAGGTTGCCTATTATCCAATGACTGGAACAGTAAGTGGTTATCTTTTGAAAGGGTATATGTTTTTTTATAGCTGCAACTTATTTTATGTGTGATGTAAAATGAAACTAAATAACCTATGTTTAATCAGCAAGACCTTTTTTTTTCACAGCAAACAACCATTCAGGCGGTCTTGGCTTCCAATTGGCAGTACTCGTTTGTCCTGATGAATTATGGGTCCATAGCAGAGACAAACAGATTAATAGAGGTGAGAGGCATTCCAGTTAATACACACAACAGCAGGTTTGTTTGTTTTTGATCTTAGCCAGTGTATATTTTCGAAAATGTCACATAAATATATTTATTCATAAATATATAATTTCCAGGCTGGATACGATACTGTCAGTTCCTCTCACCACTTTACCATCCCAGGATCATTCTCTGCAAACGCAACCGGTCCCAACTCTGTATTAAGTCTCAATAGCAACGTCAATATACCTGGACGCTGGGCTTTCCGTGTAGATCATGGTTTAACGGGCTGCACTTTCAATGGTAAGAACAAATGGTATTTTAATGTACCTCTTTATAAAGATAAGTACATGTATCAGGGGGATAACTCTAGGCTAGGTTCTCATGGTGGAACGGAAGGACCATTATAAATATCAGCACTGAATACTGAACAGTTCTATAATCATATCCTTTGTTTTTAACTCTTATTTGACACCAGTCCAAAATACTGCATATTTGCACCATATACAGTATATTAATGGTCTGAACTTCCATAGCAATACATTATTTTGTAGCATGTTTTTTTTTCTCGCGCACTGTTAACACTTTATAAATGCTGCAATTTAAGGAATTGAAATGTTATGAAAGCTGTACAAAATGAATAACAATAATTAAACAATAAAAGTTATTTCTTAAGATCATTCCGTGATTTCAGAATCACCTCAAACTAAACAAACAGAAACTGACTTAACATTAATGCAGTATGTAGGATGGAACCAAAGCCTTTAATGTCTCTTGTACTTTTTTTGCTTAAAGGTCAACCTGTACAAATTGGTGACTCTTTCTGGAGTGACAGCACTTGTGCACAGAGGTGTACCTGCACCAGAGCAGGGCTGCAGTGCTCCAGTGACCCCTGCTCCTTTTCCCAAATTTGTCGGCCAGCTTCCTTTCAATACTCTTGCCAGACAGTGCAAAGACGTACCTGCACCATCAGCGGGGATCCACATTACTACACCTTTGACAACTCAGTGTTTCATTTTCAGGGAACATGTACTTATGTTCTGTCAGAACAGTGTCAGAATGAACTGCCCTACTATAGAGTGGAGGGCAAGAACGAGCATCGTGGCAGCACTCATGTTTCATGGACACGACTGGTCAAGGTCTTTGTCTATAATGAAACTATCGAACTTGTTAAAGGTCATCATGGTGTGGCTAAGGTAAAAACTATTTTATTTACAGCACTAGTTGATAAGCTTTTCATGTGTTGTTTATATTTATATATATTTTTTTTTTTTACTGCTTTCAGGTTAATGGAAACTTTGCCACAGCTCCCTTTTCCCTCAGAAATGGCACTGTCCAGGTTTATCAATCAGGTTTTTCTCTGACCGTCAGCACTGACTTTGGTGTGATGGTGTCTTATGACATGAATAGCTATGTCCGGATCAGTGTGCCCTACACGTACCAGAATAACACCTGTGGGCTATGTGGAAACTTCAA